AGAACTGTAAGCAGATTTTTTTCTTTATGGATATTTTACAAATCACTTCCCTTTTAAACTGTATTCTCGTTTATTAATAACAACTTTTTTTTACTGTCATATTAGTATTTTATACCTGTTTACTTTATTCTCTTATTTTTCTATAACTATAATGATCATATAAAGATGTGCCTTTACCTCACTGGTTGGAGAAAAAGCTTCTTATATTCGTTAGCATAGCTAGCTAACCAGATGCTAATAACAACAACGTTATTGACTGTATGATCAGTATGACAGATGAACAGATCGCCACTGGGCTTTCAACTAAAGACACAGCCACGCAAAAACTGCGGCATGTGTACGGCTCCTTATGGGTATTGCAATTTGTGAAGTCCCGGCCCGGAGCCGCGTTCTGGTGCTCTCCGTTAGAACTACACTCCCGTCAGACGAGACATATACCACGTGATGACACGTTAGGCTCGTGTTGTGTTCAAGGACCCTGACCTTGGCCAGGAAAAACAAGCTTGTTTAATTATTTTGCGGTCTAGATTTCTTGAATTTTTTTCTTTTTTGCGTGTGTTTATAAATTACCTCGAGGGCCGTACCAAATGGTCTCGCGGGCCGTATACGGCCCGGAGGCCGGAGGTTCCCCACCCCTGTTTTAGAACATCAAGTTTGGTAGGGTTTGGTTTTGGGTTGCAGGACTCCCTGTACATGCACGCTTTGTGGAAGAGAAGGGGAGGAGAACTAGGGTCAGGGGCAGAAAAACACTCAGATACTCTACAGAGCAGCACTGCCTGTGAGAGCAGGGGGCCTTTACCTGAGTTGTATGAATAAGAGCCTTTGTCTGTGAAAGCAGAAGCAATAAGGTTGATGTGACATGAATGATAAAGGCAAAATATGCATAAACTGCTGTACAAGCTTACAAAAACTACAGCAAAAATAATGGATTCTTTTAAATCAGGACATTTGCCAATGACTTATTATTAGAGATTAGAAAGTTGATCAAGCCTAAATCTACTATATTTAAAGATATTCATTTTTGTTACGTGAGCATGCCAGTTTGTGTCAACAACAATGTCTGCTGTCAAGATTGTTAAAATGGTTTGAAAGTGTAGACAGACAATATAATGTATTGTCTTTGGTAAAAGTCAAGTTATTCATTTAACTTGGTGTTGGGTTTGTTAAATGTGAAGTTTACTGTAACTAGCCTTTTGAAACACACTTCTTTAGAGGTGTGTGACATACTGTGTGATTGACAGGCGGTAACGTACTCTGGAGCCGTCGTGTGGGGCTCTCTCCGTGGAGCTGCCTGCGTTGCGTGTTGGGGGAGGCACGTGGGAGCGGCATGGAGGACACGTCGTGGGTTTGTAGCTTGTACCAGTGTGGCTCATCATCCAGAAGTGCTGTCTCCAGCTCAATAAGGATCTGTGGGGGGTTAAGGTCACAATAAAACATGTCTTCGCTCAAAATAGTTGCATATGAACATAATTTTCTCAATTATTAAATTATAGCAACTCACAAAGTAATCACAGAGCTCTTACAGTTAGCCAAGATTAGTTATTCATAGCATTTTTACAACAGTTATGTAAAATATTTAAGCTCACTGTCCATGTCAGACAAGGTCTGGACAACCAAAGCCTTTTAATGGACAAGAGCTTCATGATTGGCTTGCCCCCAATCTTGAGGATTAGCTGAGTGAGCGTCAGTGAGTGTCCCAAATGGTTGGGCTTTGGTTTTCTTACCTCTCCCAGGAACTCGCTCTCCTCCTCCCTCACCCTGGCTTGGTCCCACAATGTGATCTCCAGCATGCGCTCCCGAAACTCCCGCCGGTGCACCGGCGAATACATAAAGGTCTGGTTCCATTTGGGCTCTAAGGATTTCTTTACCGTTTTTGTTCTCCTCTTGCTTTTGTCGCTGGAGGAACAATAATTCAAACTGTTTTTATTTACAACCATGATAGGGAACAGCCACGAATACAACAGATTAAAAACACGACACAGCACAGAGCACATCACCCAGGCATGCTGATGATGGCAGTGAGATGGAAACAAGACTGTCCTAATTCCCAGAAAATGTCCACTTCCTGCTTTCTTCATCAGTACATAAGAAAGAACTGCTTAACAAGGTGCAAAGCTGCACAGAACGTCCAACAAAGTCATAAGACACATCCACTAAATCCCTACAACTTTTTATGCTGCTCATGTAGGGCTGCACCGAATATTTGTATTACTTTTCAAGATTAGACTACACTACACTATTTACAACTTCTTTGATCCAAACATCTATGATTTAAAAGGAAAAATATGTACAACTTTAATATGTTGAATAATTTCATGAAAATGTAGAATATTAGAGTTGAAGTCATGTATAAAAGAAAACTTTAGTACAGTCCTGTTCTCATTTTTAAAAAACAATGACGCATAACATTTCAATATCACTGAACACAATCTATTTTCCTTAATCTCACTTTGTACTAATGTACACTGTCTTGGTGGGTGGAGTGAACTAATGTGACATTAAATGAGTAGGGGGTGTATACAACGCTAACTGTTTCTACTCTTACCTTCTATCGGGGAGGAAGTAGATTTTGACGTAAGGGTTCCTGGGGCGGCCGTCTTCCCTGGGGGGCAGGTCTTTGGCGCCCAGGATGGTGACAATTAGCTGATGGCCAACTTTGTCATACCATAGTTTGACCTGCAGGGGCAGAACACAGACAGCTGCTGAGAGACGCTCAGGGCCAACAGGAAGGAGAACACAGAGAAGACCACTTCCTCCAATTAGAAATAAAGTTAGTGCATAGGTGTCATCATTTATTGAGTCTTCTCCTGTATTCACCCTTCAGGAAAAAGGTGGTATATTTCTGCCTGTTAAGATAATGTCAGGTCACATGCTTGGCAGCGCATTTTACAGAGCTTAAAGGGACAGTTGACCCCAAAATCAAAAATACATTTTTTTTCTCTTATCGGTAGTGCTGTTTATATACCTGGGCTATTTTGATGAGTTTTGATGAGATATTAGTTGAAGAGATGTCTGCCTTCTCTCTAATATAATGAAACAACATTGAACTCGGCTTGTGGGCTCAAAGGGCCAAAATGTCTCTTTTAAGAAGACGCAACTGTCAAACTTTTTATGACAGGTGATACGGTTAAAATAAATAACTGCAGCAGGAATCTTGTCACAACAAGGTCTGTAGTTTATTCTGAAGGAGGCACTGCTGTTTAGGGTGAGAGCCATTTGCTGCATTATATTAGAGAGAAGGCAGACATCTTTATGGCTGATATCTCAAACTGTTTGTACTCACAACAAAACAAGCTAGCTAGATGAATAGCACTACAGGTAAAATGTATTTATTTTCATTTGGGAGTGAACTGTCCCCTTAAGTGCTCATTAAAACATGGACTTACTGTATCAATGTTAAAATGGTATGATAATGCTAATATATCAAAATCAGATATTAGGATCTTAGTGTCATTTTAGTTCGATGCGTTTTTTAACGTGATGCTACTTTATGGATATTTTTTTCACTTTATTTTACGTGTTGTAAATGTATGTGTTCTTCTTTCTAATAACCACTCCCCCTGCAGAGAGGAATGAAGCTCAATGAACGGCATTTTTACTGAAGTGATTTGCTGTGCTCTGTTGGTATGTCTACCTGTGAGGATGCTGCCTCTATTCATTAACTATCAGATATTCAATGGGCGTTCACATAAGGAAATCAATCATGCTGTTGCGTGAATTATTGAAGACATTTCACATTAAAAGGAAAGTATGGACTCCAAAAGAAGACACTTAGAAGAAGAAAAAACTCCAACTGAAGCCTTACAGGAAGTAGATGAAATGAGAAATAAAACTTCTAAGCTTGTGTCCATACTTCTGTAAAAATGTGATAATGGAAAAAAGGTCTGCACCAATTCAATGTATCAGCTATACATGCAGCAACGCAAGAGAGAGCATTCAAGACAAGTCAAAAGATCTTCATGTAGGCAAAACAGACACTTGAGGGCTTATGGGAAAACAAATTGTACCAAATCTTCTCAAAACCTGAAGCCCACCAAATCACCAGATGCTGCAAAGTGAGTGTACTGTACAGTGATTGTGTTTGAATTTGTACAAAATATTCAGTAAAGATTCAGATTGAATTCTTATGGATTATATTATAATGGTAACACACGTGGTTCAAAAGTAATGTACTAAGTGTAATAAGTGGCTATGAAATGTGTCCATTTTAAAAATACACTAACAGAAACATACAAGCTTTACAAAAGTACACACAATAATACATACACACAAATAAAAACCTACTTGTACATTCAACCTTCATAAAATGTCATTACACCCCTCTTAATTTGAAAACTCGCATCTCTAACTCGAGCCATTATAATAATGTATTGTGTGAGATCCAAACAAAGCTTGTTGATGGTACTCTTAACTCATCACATTAACATATTGTCAGCTATAAGTATTAATATAGAAACTAACCGAGCCAAGAAAATCAATTAAAAAAAATTATTAAACAAAACCCAGAGAGAAGACTGATAATAAAGACGACAGAATAAAAGAGACCCCTTGAAGTGAAGGAAAACCTTCAACTCTTTGCTCCGTTTGGAATTTTCTATTTTGAAGGTACAATTTGCTTGAACTCTTATCTGGAAAGGAAATGCAAGTTGGTTTCCAGCACAGGACGGCAAACTTGTTTTTTTTTCACTGCAACATGAAACTGCAGACCAATCAACCATATGATGCTTAAGTTGCATAAGTTTAACTTGCACATGGAGCAGTTCTCCTGTACATGTGCATAGGGCAGAGTTACAGGCCTGGGTTCATGTTACACTGAGGCAGAAAATAACTCAAGTCCTTTGTCCTGAGAAAGTTCAGGGAGACACCCTCCTGCATTTCCAAAGATCACATATGTCTGACATGAGTTATGGTGAAGTGTCAGATTAGGCAATGGAAGAGTGTCTCCTTAAATGTGTTTAGATTAGTTGAGCATGCATAACCTAGGAAAAAGTGAGGTGGAAAATGATTTATAAGTCTTATCATAACAGTGATACCAAGAAATCAAACTGAAGAAAATGACACAATGCACTGCACTGAGGGAAACTTGAAGCTGCCATTTCCCATAGAATGCATTTTCCAAAGTATGGAAACAGTCAACAGTCAATGAGCAAAGACCAAATAGAGATTGTGCCCTTCAGACAGGGCCCATTACCTGGACCCTAGGGGTAAAAGGCGTTGTTCTTCTACTAAGGCTTTGGCTCTGGATAAGCAAAATTAAACAAAAAAAAGGACAAGAAAAGAAACTGCAATAAAACCAAAACCCAACAACAGCAACACAAACTCACAATACACTCTTAACAACAACAGCAGTTTGTAGTTTCAGGGTTTGTTCTTATTTCCTTTTTAACTTTTTATGTAATGCTTTACTAGTTCTGCATTGGCTTTTTCTCATTTGAAATGCCACACAATCATTTAGAATATTTGACAGCTACAAAAGCCTCTGCGTAGAATCAGTCATTGGACATTGCTGATCTTAGAGGGTTAATTCAATGCACTCAGTTTTTTAAATAATCGGTTGTTTCATGATTCTTTACATGCAGAACATAAAAAGGCACGATCCGGGCAAAATCTTGGGGTTTGCAAAACCCTCAAAGGATAAGTATATCATACAACCCCACTACAAACATCCCTTTACATTGAATATTTCTTTATGTGGGAAAACCTACCAAAGAAAATGTAACAATTGTAACATTTTACAATTGTGGTATGACATTTCAAACTAATGTAAATCAAACTCAACTATTTCTCATTCAAATATATATATATATTTTTTAGCCTTTTCCCTACTGGACCCTACATTTAAGTGCTGATTTTATTCTGCCCTTTACCCATTTATCCCAGGAGAGTTTTTATACTGGATAATGAACAACACGTGGTAACCTGATCTACACGCCTCTACTGGGTTGGTAAAGGGCCAGCTCAACCGGCAGAGTAAGAAAAGCTCTGCCCGGTAACCAAATGATTTGAAACAGTATTTAAGGTATTATTTGAGTCCATTCCTAAATATAGTCAAATGAACTAAAAACCCATTAAAATGTTCATCAATTTAGTCTTTGGTGAGGATTACACATAGTCTGTAAGTCATGCTGAGGTCACTTACTGAGAGCTGACCTGACAGGTACTGGGGGGCGTCCCTCAGCATGCTGGGACTCATGGGGGATGTGACGGAGATGGACGGGCGATCCACCTTTTGAGACTCAAAAGAACTCGAACCTGACAGAGCAGGGACCACACGGTCAGATCAGGTAGTGAAGACGTTGGTTTTAATAACATTGAGAGATATAATGAGAGACGGGGGATGGTTGTGAGGAAGATAGAAAGACAATGACAAGAAGAGAGACAGAAAGAGGGCAAGAAAGCATGCCGTAAGAAAGACAGGGACACAGAGAGGCAGAGGGACAGAACTCTCAGAGACATTTCCTTCACTTGATGTTTCTAGGCTGATAATAGGATTACATGGGGTAATGAAATAGCTTAAAGATTCTGAGGCTGAGACTCACTTGATTCCAGTTGTGCATGTGTGCTGTCTGGTATCCTTGGAATATCTCTGGGAAAAAAAGAGAGAAAGAGTATGAGTGTGAGAGACAGGAGAGAGGGAAGGGGTGGAAAGGATCAATTGGTGCTACTGCTGACTGCACTGTGCTCTAATGAGCGCATTAGTCTTCATTCAGCAGCAGCTCCCTCAGCAGCACACAGAGGGTCAGATATAGGATTGGTAAAGCAAAGGTGTTGCTGTTTTCCACTATTTACATTTGGAGTCAAAGCAAGCCAGCAGGCTGTCATTAAGCTGGGATGTGTTGGATTTGAAGGGGATAGATTCCCAAATGTTGAATAAAACAAGTACGCACCACTCATTCAAAAATATATTCTGTGCTAACACAAACTATCTTCACCTCCAGATGTCCTGAAGGCTCCATATTATAGTGAGCTCAGTAATGCAGGCAGTGACTTGACCTCAATGAGCCTAAAGACATAAAAACTACAATTGTTTTAAAGAACAAATATCAATAAAAGTATGAACTCACTAATGATGCAATTCCTGTTATATAAAATCACAGATTTGATTGCACACATTTACAATAAAAAACTATTTGTAATGTGATTATTAAATGTATCCTTTCCAACTGATTATTCGTTCTTCATGCTGAAAGAGGCCTGGAAGCTATGCCAGTTTTCAATTTGTCAGAGGCAGGTTGACACTGTAGACAGGACAAATAAAGTAATCGTATTGTGTGCCAAACACAGCAGTTACGATCATATAATGCTGTGCGTGTGTGACAGTCATGGTGAGCTCTCACCCTATAGGCCTTGAGACCACCAGCTCCACCTGCGGCTCAGGCTTGGAGTCTAGAATGATATTGTAAACTTCTTTAAATGTGGCTCCTTGTAAAAGCTTCCCGTTCCACTCCAGCACCTGGTCACCTGCAAACACACCAGACACACAGGATAACGTTTTGTAGTGTAGGAAACACACCTCATTATGTGTGTGTGTGTGTGTGTGTGTGTGTGTGTGTGTGTGTGTGTGTGTGTGTGTGTGTGTGTGTGTGTGTGTGTGTGTGTGTGTGTGTGTGTGTGTTCGGTAACGGAGCTCAGATGAGAGGGCTCTGATTACAGTTTTAATCCTCTGTCAAACTGCATGTTTTCTGCCATATTTGATGAGAGATAAAATGATTTTCTGCCACAGGAGTTTGACAGAGAATAACTAAAAAAGTATGCAGTAAAGTAACATCATAGTAGCCTACTTGTGGTAGAAGTCCAACTAGTACTGAGTCCACAGTAAAGTACTTCATTGTATTTGTGGTAGTTGTCTAACTGAGTCCAACTCTGTGTAGATGGAACATCCAGTATTTCGGAGGGGCCCTAACGGGACCCTCCTCTTGAAAGAAAGGGATATAAGATAAAAGAACTGTAGGAAACAGTTCTGAACTGTTTCCGCCAGTTCTTTAAGTTCGTCGTTCGCGAACAGCTTCTCTTTAGCTTTTTGTGGAAGGCGGCGCCTCAAACAAACAAATAGTTTTGTGGGAGGAATCAGTTCATCTCGTTCTCTTCAAAGATTCGTTCAAAAAGAATGAATCGTTCGCGAACGACCCATCACTAGTTTCCTCGCCCCTTTCTGTAAATGTTCAACGTGAGAGTAGTCACTGTGAGGGGAAAGCTAAGACTGATTGTCATATCTGTTGTCAGATTGTCAGTGATTAAACGGAGATCGTCTAAACTGTATGCTGGCTCGGGTCTCATCCATGAACAACACAAAACACAATGCAGAGACCGCTTAACGACACCGGTTACACCTAGCTCTCCCTCACTTCCTTCGGCTTGAAGACAACTTCACTGGGGGGTGAGCGGACTGCAGCCCTGGAGATGCACCTTGGGTAGCCGCTGTAGACACTGTAGACACAGCCAGTTTAAGATATATCCTGTCTTCTCTAGCTTTGGGGGGGGGGAAACGATATGGGGTGCTACATTTGTCAATATCTCGTTTATCAGAACACAAAGAATTAGCTAACTACCTTGCAGTCCCTCTCTCTAACTTCCTGCCGATTAGAGACAACTTCACTGGGGGGTGAGCAGTGAAGCACCAGAGATGCACCTTCGTTAGCCGCTGTAGCAACTAGCTTAGCGGTCAGTGCAAGAGCAAGCTGCGCTGAAAAAACGTTACAGTTGTCTTTTGGTAGAAAAATATTTGATATAACTGAGTGATATGACAATGTTGGAAAGTAACAAGGAACGTATACCGTTCTAATGTACAAAACGTGACAAAAAAGGCCCATGGGCTACCGTTTGTTTGCTTATTAGTTTTCTTGAATTCTTACGTCAGCTCTACATAGCCTACATGTAAATTGTCAGTCATATTTAAAATGCACTATTATCATCAATCTACTTTGAAAAAGATGCTCCCTGAAGCAATTGTAACATACTTTGCGGCATTAGAACGCCTCACTGACGTTTTGTCGCTGATGCTTTCGTCATGCCGAAGAGGGCGTGGTCAATCTTAACTGGGTTGGAAAAATAATAAACGCCTCCAAGCTTCATGTTAAAAACACAATAACTGCTGCTGATTCCCCAACAGACCAGCACATGAGACCCAGTGTGAGTGTGTAACAAATCTTTCAAAGAATGGAATCCATGCCTTTCTTCGATATCATTTCACATCCTTGATTCACTTTGCTAAAATGTACCTCCAGGCCTCCAGATGCTTTTCAGTGCCTCTGCTTCTGAGAGCACCATATGACTCTGTCCACATTGGTTAATGGTATTGTACTTTGTTTACTCACTGCGCAAAAACTAGTCAAAAACAGCAAATGTGCCTGTGAGACGATGATATAAAAAAAGTCACACCTTGAAAGTAGAGAGCATGTAAAAGGTTGGCAGTTAAGGAGGATGTTAATGGCACTCACAACTTTATGGAGTCCTGACATGAAAATAAAGAGCTTCATGCAGTTCAGATATGAAAGGAAAGATGTTAGGCTATTCAGAAAAAAGTCAGAATGTCAGTGAACCTCTTACATATGATCCCTCCTCCAAGCTCAACCAAACAAGGCACCAGACAGTGGCTGAAATGGCAAGAAAATTGTCCTAACTCTCTTTTCTCGTTGGTGCATATCAGTGTTTGATAGTAGACTCTCCTATTATTTTTAACAGAACAGAAGGTACATTATTTGCATTACTTTTTATATTTACTGTTGCACACTTGGACACAAAAGAGACTTCCAGGCATGCATACGTTTAAAATAAATTCCGTTCACTTTGTTACTAGCTAACAGCATTAGCTAGTAGTCAGACAGAATATCTGTGGCTACAATGACGTGTATTGCAATTTTTTTTCTCAATTTATCTTCATATAAATATATATATTTTAAATAATATTGTGCAACTGTCACAAAACCTAATCCCCCCCTGGGATTAATACAGAATTTTGATTGATTGATTGATACTTTTCTCTTATTGATATTTAATGATATTGCTACCTTCAACAATCTTCTAGAATCTTTTTTAATTTGTTGAATATCAAGAAAAATTGGAAATTAAACAAGATTGAATTACTTCCAAGCATATATGTGAATGTCTATCATGATTAGACATTGAAGAAGTTGCTATTTCTAGTACATATTTCCTCTGATTCCAACAGAATGGTCAAGAGCCTTCCCTCTAATGAAGCTACTGTGTGAGTATGAGAGACTGAGCAGTGTCTTCTATGAAACAGATCAATAGTGAACCCATCTGCTCTAATTGAAGATACTGTATACACATTTAAAGACAAGACACACACAAACACAGACGCACACACACACACACACACACACACACACACACACACACACACACACACGCACTGCTTCATGCTGCCGAGGAGAGCAATAATCTGCAAGGTCAAGGGAGCCGCAGTTGATGTAGTTGGTGATACATACATGTCGTCTGTCTAATGCTCGCTCCGGGGAAATCATTAAATCCATAACACCAGGATGTATGTACATCACTGGATTCCGTGTGTGTGTGTGTGTGTGTGTGTGTGTGTGTGTGTGTGTGTGTGTGTGTGTGTGTGTGTGAGTGCATGTGTGTGAATGTGAGTGTGAGTGTGTGTGTTGCAGAGGTACCAAGGGACCCAGACTAGTCATTTCATGCATGAAATGCTCATCCCATTGGTCTTAAAGGAAGAGAAAATCAACCTTGGAAGAATATACGGATGAAAAGATGCAAAGATGGAGGAATGGAACGCAGAGAAGAAGAGGGGGGACACGAGGAGAGTCATGTAATTAAATTAGCTTAATTCTAAGTCGAAGTAAAGAAAAAGCAGCTTGTAGTGCTCTCTCCAGCTTTAAAACACATACCACTACAAATAGACACAGACTGCACAAACATTGTGTTTTTTCTTTCCCCCTGCTATTTTCATGCTCAATCTCTTTTTCTCTCTCCTTCTCTCTCTTGCCACATAACTGCACTTAGTCATTCATGTAAACACATAAAAAAAACACACACACACACACGCACGCACGCACACACACACACACACACACACACACACACACACACACACACACACACTCACACACACGCTTTCTCTCCAGCAGTACTCCATTACCAGCAGTTCCCAGTGATTGAGGATTCCTATGGTAATGGTGATGTGGGGCTGCCCTGGCTGCCAGCTGGCTTGCCCCATGACTGATTCCGTTGTGTGTGTGTGTGTGTGTGTGTGTGTGTGTGTGTGTGTGTGTGTGTGTGTGTGTGTGTGTGTGTGTGTGTGTGTGTGTGTATGTGTGTCTTTAATACCTGGTCTGAGATGTCCAACAGTGTCTGCTAGACTTCCTTTCCTCACTTTAGTGATGAAAGCACAAAGTCTACCAGATTCTGTCATCTTGCCTCCCACCACCTGTCGGAGCAGATTCGCACTGGATTAGCACTGAAACACAACTTGATTTGTTAGTGTTATTATCACTGTGTTATTATTATGGGGACTCTCCTCTCACGCCTCTCATGCAGCTTGCAGGAGAAAACCGATTGTTTTCCCCAAATGTATCCCAGTGATGTCATTGCTTTAGTGTTTGCCTGCGAGGTATGAATCCTCAATAAAAGCCTAGATTTTTTCTAATGTTTAAGGCTATGTTTTCTGCCCAGGGACACACTCAGTGGTTCTGTAACAGTGCAGGTCAGTGGGCTTCAGCTGTACTGTAAAGACCTGAGCTGCTGTACTCAGCTTACATGGGCATGATACAAATCAAAATCCCTCTTAATGGCAGCTGAATGCCAACATACAAAGGAGCTTAGGGAAGTCTGCTAAATGAAATAGCTTTATGTAACAGGCAGGAGCCGGAGAAGGAGGCTGGCAGTGAAAGAGATGGAGATAGAGAAAGATGGACAGTGGGGGGGGGGGCTGGCAGCCTGACTGATGGACTGACTGGCTGCACTGCCGAGTTGGTTGTCTGCTGCTGAGCGGACAGAAAGGCACAGAGGCACTGAGCAGACACAAACATGCCGTTTCAGGAGGCTCATTCAATCAGTAATGATTTTCCCCGTCCTGCCGCTCTCAGTTCTCTCTCTGCATCACCCACCATGCTCCTCTGGACTTGGCTGCTCAGCTTTTTCTTTTTTTTTAACCACCTACAGATTAATGCCACAGTAAAAAGGGAAGGGAAACCAAAGCATTTACCACCATAGAAAGCTTTCTTTTGCAATGTAGTGACTGTGCTGCAATAACAACATGGGTAAGAGGTAGGGCTGCAACTAATGATTATTTTTATTATCAACTCATCTGCAGGATATTTGATTTTTAGATTAATCGATGAATTGTTCGACTTAAAACATTTCACAAAATAGTCAAACATTTCAATCCCAGTTTCTCAAAGTCCAAGGTAATGTCTTAAATGTTTTGTCTTAAACCCAAGAATCCACTTTGTTTAATGAAACGATGCAGTTATATGAGGAAGCTTTTTTCCGTACTGCACGGTAGCTTGTGAATTGCACCAAGGAATTAATTAAAGTGTATCTACAGTATAATAATTAATGATTAATTGTTTCTTGATTAAAGTAAATGAAGGTATAATATAAAGTTAGTGAGTAAAAACTACAAAATGTGCCTCTGAGTGGAGGTGTATAAAGTAGCAGGAAATGAAAAAAAATGTGTACAGTTCTTGATCAAATAAAACGAATTACTGTTAAACACTGAATATGACGAAATGGAAAATATTTGAGAAACTTTCAACAGGATTTTCTGCAATTTTTTTGCCATAATAACTCCTCAATGAATCATGGATAGTCAGCTATTTGGTGAGTATTTTTCTTTTAAACGTCTAAATGATTACACTCATTTACATTGCAGTTCTTTACAAAGGTTTACATTGAGTGAAGTAAGAATGTGTCCTATAAAAGTATGCTTCATAGCACTAAAAGCATAGGAAACAGTTAAGCACATAGTTTAAATTCCTAGGGGAATGTGATGAAACTATTCAAAGTGTGTGCAGTGACGACACTGACAGGACTCGTTTCCTCTGCGCTGCTGAATGCAGTTCATTAAAGTAGTTCAATGTGAGTGAGTTCAGAGAATTATACGGCTCAATATTAAACGATGCTCATTAATATTCATCAGGGACATAATCCAGTCTTTAATGAATATTATTACTGAGTAGCACTATGATGTTATCGATAATTGGAAAGCCAAGGAGAAAATCCGCACACGCAAAAAAAAGGCAACAAAATAGTAGAAAGACACTGTACGTATGTTCACAACCAACACTGATAATCAGCTGGACCTGTCAAACCTCCCCAGAATCCCTGGGTCTGCTTACACTGAAGTCCACTCAACCAACATTTGTGATAAATGTGCCTATTTTAAAGCTGCAGTTGGTAGCTTTCATAAATGTACCTTTTGTCATTCTGATATTGTGACTGTAGTGCATGAGACTGTAGTACAAAATATCATGTTCCTCTGCCTCCCAGAATTTGGAATTTGGAGTCCTCTGCCCAGAAGGAAAACAACCAATCAGAGCAGAAGATACTCTAAAGTATCTCTAAGTTTCAATCACTGCTTGTAAACCCCAATCAAAATGTGAAATGACGCAGTGCTGGTTAAACATACAACAGTAAATAAAACAGTCACAGCTAAACGATGCACTGAAATATGTTTTGTGAAAACGTTTTGTTAAGTTGCCTCTTAGCATGACTCTCTCTGTAGATTCACGTTCCTCTGGTAAGCAGTCATGCTGCGTACATGTCGAGGGCTTTTATTGTGAAGGGTAAGAACAGAAGGAGGGGCGCACACGCTGTTGACAACGTGGGAGCAATAAAGAGTTTTGCCGTCTTGGTGTAGACGACAGATTGTCCGTATTCTTTTTAACAACCTTCCTAAGTATTGGCACGACTCAGAGCCCTCGGCCATAGTGAAGTTATGTTTACTGCAGAGTACAGTGATCCTTTACCTTAACACTTTTAGAGATTCTTTGGCTGTGATTGTTTGTTTGTATAAAAGTTATTTAAGTTATGTAGTATTGAATATGTTACCAAACTGCAGCTTAAACACATGAGATCTTCAGACACACACAGACAGGTAGAATCATTATGAGCTCACCTTTAGACCAAGCAGAGCTCCTGAGTCTCGAGGCACACTTCCATCTTTCATGCGCTTGTTGAGTAAAATACGCCCTATTAGGCGATCCCCATCTTTGGACGGCTGCCACGTCACCGGGTGCTACAAGGTCAGAGCAACACACACCTATTGTTAACAACTCATCCGCTTGCATGTGATTACATTAGACCCAAGCAGACAACTGTCCATAGTGAAAAGGGTGCATGGGGAGAGTATTTATTCACTCAGGGAAGAGAGTTCACACAAACTCTGTCGCCCTCATCAATTGTTAAATGTTTTATCTAGCAACACGCTCAATTATTTACATTTTAAAAGACGGGATATTGAATTGCTAAGAGAATCAAGGACGAACTATTGATGAAAAATAACATCCAACACAACAGTGAAAGGTGTTATTTCCAGAGCTTGTGTGAACATGCCAGTGTGAAGGTGGAGTTAGCTTCATGCAGCGCCCCATGCAGAGTAAAGCAAGCAGCCCCAACCCTACACCTCCAACCAGCTCTTCAAAGTGGAGCAGGAAGACCGGAGTCTCACTACACACAGACATACAACCATCATCAGGTAGAGGAGTGAGGGGAAAGCAGACTGCGAAAAAGGGGGGGGAAAAAGGTCATCTATGATGCAAGAACAAATGAGGTAGTCCAGTTCAAAGATTAAAAAAAGAATGGAAAATAGAGCGCATGTATTAAAGCCATGAGACACAGAGAGGGTGAAATCATAGACGCGCAGTGGAAAGGAAAAAAGAAAAACATATGTTTTCATTTTTGGTGCAAAACAAATCAGTCTTCCCTGTTTTGTGTGCTTACAATCATTTAGGTTTGCTAAAGAAGTGAGTGGAAAGTTAGGCAAGGGGCGGGTTCTGTCTGGACTGGATGCTGTGGGGGGGGGGGAGAGGGGCAGCAGAGTGAGAGGGTCGGCCCTGAGTAAAGATGTTTCCTATGACACTAAACAGGACCGCTGCAGAGCAAGAAAACAACATACGGAGGAGAACGAGCATGCAACTAGGAGAGACCCACATCCCTGTGTGCCATGACAAACAGAGAGGTTGTGTGTCAATGCTAAAACTACTGTAAGATGTGTTGTTTCTGTTTGGGGAGCAAAACAGCAAGTACAAGTAGCAAGCAAAGAGGGTGCCCCCAAAAGACTTTTTCGGCAACACCGAGCAAGGTGGAGCCAAAAGTAACCGAAAAAACGAAAAAGGAACGAAATCGCAAGAAAAATCAATTTATACAAACGTCAAATAAAAATCCAAAAAACAAACATCTCACCTATTTACACTGAGTGACAGAGCAAAACAAAGACTGGATGGGTAGGTTAAAAATAATAATAACAAAATGCAGGCTAGATTGTCTTAGTACCTTCTCACTATGGCTATGCTCCTCGTTTAGGGTAGTGCTACTGCACGTATCAACTCCCGAGTCTTTAACCTGCGGTTCACACCATGCCAAGTCCTCTTCAAATGAGTGTCCCCCAAAGCGCACCATTTTCTTTTGCCTCTCAGATAAGGTGTGTGTCGGCTCGGACATAAATGTCTGCTCAATTGTTTTTCTTTTTCCCCTTTGACTGTCCCCTACAGGTGTGGGATAAAAACAGAAAGAAAACAGAAAAACAACATGCAAAGGTGTAAATAAAACGAAGGAAACATGAGATGACAAAAGACTCTGGTAGAGGGGGGGATGGGGGGGAGAGAGACAGAGAGAGGGAGAGAGAGATGGGGGGTTAGGGAGGGACGGGAGAGGGGGGAGGTCAAGGCAGGGCTCCACATGTCTCACCAAAGACATTGGGGAGGCCTCGCTGCTATGCCAAGAAGCATGGTCCCACCAATGGCCATCCAAATCTCCTGTAAGGTGGGGGGGAAAGGACGCACACACAAGAAAGGACATCGAGAGGGACCAGTGAGGACACAAACAACAACAGACAGTAACCGCCAGACAAACGTACACACATAATACACACATACAGAAGCAAACAAGACATCCAAACAATCATATTTGCACACACACACACACACACACACACACACACACACACACACACACACACACACACACACACACACACACACACACACACACACACACACTCTCACATACTGTAAAACTCAAAGCTGGTCAGCATGTGAACCTCTAAGTCAAGAGATCCCTGTGGAGAAAGAAAGACGCAGCTCAGGTCAATAACAATGTGACCACCTCCACACAGGCCGCCGTTCTTCCTTTGGACATTCATTTATTCGTCTTTTAGGGCCAGTTTAGCATTTATTAGGAAGCGACAGTGTTAGAGGGGGAGATAGAGGGGATGGCAGGGGGCCGCAGGCTTCGACCCTGCGTCCGCCACAGCAGGGATGGAGCCCCACTACACGCTCTGCCAGCTCTTAACACTATACATTTGATGCTCATCTTTTCCTTGTCTTACCTACAGGACATAGAGTAAATCCCACCATTTTGTTCAGGATTTGCACAATTGTTATCCATGAATTCATGATCTTGTGAATCTAGCTTGCCACAACAAATGGAATGTGACGGCAGATAGGAAGGGGGAGTAAGAAACAACTGTATCAGCGACAGCAAGAAATTAGGTTTATCGAAAATGGGTTCTTCATTAAGACAAACCTTCAACTTCCAAATTACACTGATCTGGAAAATGCCATATTTTGAATGATGTGTTACTAACTTGATGGATCGCAAGATAAAATGCAACAAGATCTGGGAGGCTAAGGAACAAAGCTACAACTATGTCCAGGCACACTAATGGCTACTTCATGCAACTGTAATACAGGTGTGTATTTCCTTACTTTTCATCAAAGATGCAAACACAATCAGAAAGGAGTTATAATCAAAAATTAAGAAAAACAGTTCAACTAATATTTATATGTCCACTGAAACAATATATTTAACAACAATCTCTAAAAGCTCTTTATAGATGCCTAAGTTTAAATCAGCAGACACTAACATTTTGCTCAAAAAAAGTAAAGTGCTATCTTATCATACAGTAGCTGTGGGCGGGAGCAGAGCACCACTCTAATGTGTTTAACTGGGGATTCAGATTGCAATGCCACACAGCCTTAACTGACCTCAATCTAAAGTGCACCAGGGAGAGCTTTTAAAGATGAGGCTCTGATTACAACTTCTGGAGCAGTACCAGTGGACAGCCTGGAGAAGATACAGGCTGGGCAAACTGCTTTAATGTTATTACAGGATGGAGGTTTCTGGGACATCTCTTTTAACTTTTTTTATTTTCTCATCAATCCAGCTGACGGCTTAGAGTAGAACTGACGACTCCGCCATCGTTGGCCTCATCTCCAACGAGGACGACAGGGAGTACAGGGAGCTGACGCATGACTTCACCTTCTGGTGCCAGAGGAACCAGCTGAACGCAGCGTAGACCAAGGAGCTGGTGGTGGATTTCAGACGGTGCCAACACTCCCCCCCGACACAGGGAGCGGACATTGAGATTGTGAAATCTTACAAATACCTGGGTGTTCATCTGAACAATCAACTGGACTGGACTGATAATTCTGCTGCTCTGTACAAGAAGGGACAGAGCAGACTCTTTCTGCTGAGGAGACTGAGGTCTTTTGGGGTGCAGGGGGCACTCCTTCAGACATGTTATGACTCTGTTGTGGCATCAGCCATTTTCTATGATGTGGCCTGCTGGGGCAGCAGCATCTCGGCTGCTGACAGGAAGAGACTGAACAGACTGGTAAGGAAGGCCAGCTCTGTCCTGGGGAGTCCTCTGGACACTGTGGAGGTGGTGGGAGACAGGAGAATGGCAACCAAGCTGTCCTCCCTGCTGGACAATATGTCCCACCCCCTCCAGGACACCCTGTCCTCACTGTGCAGCTCCTTCAGCGACAGGTTGCTGCACCCCACCTGTCTCACGGAGAGATACCGCAGGTCCTTCCTTCCTGCAGCGGTCAGACTATACAACCAGCACAGCCCCTAGTAGACCCCCCCCCCCTTTCCCTACACACACCACAAAACAGACTATATCACCCCTTGCTGCTAAATAACAATCAACTATGTGCAAAATGTACTATATGGGCAATATATATATGCCGTTAATAACTGTAATTTATACCTGGCTGCTAAATCCTTAGAAACGTTACAAGGTGTGTTTTTTGCATTTTGTATTTTGTAAATTGTGTAACTTGCTGCTGTTAAATACCATCAAACTATGTGCAATATGTGCTATATGTGCAATATATACATATACATATGCCCTTAATAACTGTGTAATATATACCTGGCTGCTAAATCCTAAGAACTGTTACAGGATTTGTATTTTGAAAAGTCTTTTTTTTTTTACTTTTTTTTTTATTATATTTTTTATTATATCATAACTTAGTACTTTTTTTAACATATGTAACATTGAGCTGTCTGTGGCTCTTTCCTGGTGTAACGATGCAAATGTCCCCTATGTGGGAATAATAAAGGTATTCTGATTCTGATGTTGGTTAGCTTACAGAGTGAACCAAGACCTCTAAACCGATTTATTGCTGCACATGTGATGCTTAGGTCAACCCGGGAAGAGATGACAGATATTTTATAAGACAAATATCAATTCACATTATTTATTCTGTTGGAGACTGAGAGCTACATATGCAAAACCAACCTGTTCCACAAGTGAAACAACGAGGTGGACAGAGAGAGCACATTCAATTTGATTCAGAGGCTTAAAAAAAATGTAAGCTAATTAGAATACAAGAAAGATATTAAATCTGAATGTGGTGTTTAGAAAATCGAGGTAAAGGGGAATAAAGGTTTGTCCTGAGACCTGAGTGTGTAACATAAATCTGTTTTTAACACCTTGTTATTTAGGGAAATGGACATTCATGGTTTGTTTTTTGACGACTCAAAGTACAGTTAACGAATGTGTACTGTTGTTGATATGTTGCTTGCTTGCATGAATGTATGTAGGGAAAGGAAGGTTATCTGAAAACCCTGCACTTGTTCAACCTGTGCACTTCCCCTGCAAAGAGCTGTATAACTTAATGGATGTACACAGGCAGGCCTCCTTCAAGCATTATCTTGCTGAGGATTCAATCTCAAGGCAAACAGCGAACTCTGATGGAAAGGCATAAAAATAGCCTGCATATGCGTCTGAATGCAAAAGAGGAGGTGGTGGTGGAGTGGGGGATTACAAGGGTAAAAAAAGGAAGGGATATTCAGAACAGAAAAAGCCGCATAGAAGAAGAACGCTGTGTAAAGATAGTGCCACTGTGAATAAATATAGCCCCATTCGTGAGTCTTCTAACTCGGCTGATGTTAGGACAAAACATTCTCACCAAAAAGATATTTCTTTATGGCATAAATAATGTTTTGAACAATTTCAGTTTTTCCTTTTGGCGTTGTCCATTTTTAATCCTAATATGAATGAGAAGATGTAACCTAGCAAATTAGTTGCTAATGTTTAGCGATACTATTAAAAACAACTTAATTGGAAATAAATTAAAACATATTGAGAAGAAAAAGCACTGGCCTACCCGTCTGGATCAATATGGTGTTAGTATCTTGCTTTTATTTTATTATATAACAACTTACTTTGTCTCCTGGTACAACCGGCCAATTGTGTCTAATATGGCCTCTGATTTCTTACCTTGCATGATTCTTTTTTTTCTTGCCTCGTTAATATATTTGGAACTATCTTCTAATAAAGTCACATTTTGTGTCTATTCTTGATTTGGCATATATCTTGTAGCATAATTCTAACTAGCTTTTGAGTCTATTGTGCAATATAGTTCCAGTTGTGTACTTTCATTTTCACAATGCACATCATTATTATTTGACTTTGCACTTTATGGTGATGTTAAACTTATTAACCTCCAGCATCAAGGACTTTTTTATTAACATCCACATTCAAACCAACCAGAGTCATTTCCACACTTACAATTGTATCATATTCAAAGTTGCAAGGTCAGTCGGAGCCAAACAAACTGTCCTCCTTCCCTCCCTGCTCTTTCTCTAAGCTATCACTATCCATCCGTCAGTGCAGGGGAGTGCTAAAACGACTTACTGTACACAGTTATGCACTGTGATAAAACATTATGGGTGTCTCCAGACAGGCTTTGCCCTCCGTGGCCCTCTAACCAACAGCTGACAACAGTGATTACCCTCTTTGCCTCCCAGCTGCTATCATGTCGGCAGCACAAACTCCAGAGCGCAGTTCAGCGCCGTGCACACTCTACATTGAACGAGTCACTTGCCCTAATGTGGCCATGATAGTCCAAACAGCTTGAGGCCTGCATTTATCATCAAGGAGGGAAACATCATGTAGATCCCCTTCAGGTAAGACAGTGGTTGCATATATTGGGGTACCTTAAAAGCCTTACAAAAAGGGCAAATGTAATTTACTTTGCTCAGATTGCACACAAATAATTCCTTGATTTTGTATGTTAAAGAGATTCTTATAAATGAAAATGTACTTCCCACTGTTGTATGAAAAGACACACAATACATCCCAATATATAACATACCTGGCAATAAACTCGATCTGATTCGGATTTATTTGTCAATTTAGAGCTATGGATAAACATTTAGATACGCAGCTTATCTCAAGGTCATCGATAGTTTCCCCCTCCACCTGTCCTCCCATCATACTCCCCCACCTCCCCCAGGCCCATCGATGTCCGTCAAAACTAATTTGAGTACGTGTAAACATGGAGGTACGCCGCCCTTTCTTTCCCTGAAGCTTTATTAACAGTGGCACGCCACAATTGGGCACTGATCCCCGGCGAGAGGCACAGCGTGGAAGCAGGAAACTCATCATGGCCATAAATTGTGAGCATCAGCAGTCTGCGGTGGGCCTGCCGATCCGCCCAGACTCCGAGGCCCCGCAAAGTGCTGACTCAGGGCAGAGGAGGAGCGCAGGCAGTGGTGGAGTTCACCAGCAGCAGGCTCTCCATCACTTTGACAGCTCAATAAAAACCAGTGTAAACTATTAATTGGATCATTAATTATTGATGCTGTTTTTACTACAATTCGAGAGGTGAGAGCAGAAAAGAGGCCGGGGTGAAACTGTGTGTGTTTTAACATAGTCACCAAACTGGGAAGGTGATACAGTGTCATGTAAAACCCCTGGGAGGCCGGTCTTATAACCTCAAACAAAACACCTGTATCTAACTTCTACTAGCAAGGAGAGAAAACTGTAGTTCTACCGGTTAAGGTATAAAAGGTGACTTAATGTTATTCCTTTCAACTAACCTGATACAGTCATGTGAAATCTGTTGACATGATACATTTAATTAGTGTGAACGGTTCAGTTTTTTCAGTGCAGACCACAAACCCAACAGACCTATGGAAGTGGAAAAACTGCTCACAAAAGCCTTTAGGAGGATGTAACTTAGGCTGTCCCTACACAATGTCCACCTCTCTGCCGTAGTTAGCCGGCCTCTCCTTTTCTGTTTGTTCGGCACTATTATGAGACGGCATGTCGGGGGAATCAATAAGGAGGAAAACACAGGGAGAGGACCGTCGTGATAAATCAGTCTCCAGTGCTCGCAGGCACGAGCCAGGCTCATTACAGCTGGCACACCCTCTCTCCTCTGGTCTCCGCCTCCCCTTAGTCTCATCTGCTTCTCCATCCATTAATCCCCCCCACCCTTCCTGCCTCCCTCCTAAGGGTGTCGGAGATATGAGGGCATGGCATGCACCCTGCTCAGCCTGCTGCTACACACCCATTTGCCGCACAAACTACGCGGACGTGCCACATATGGCCAAATGGTGCTTTCTGCCCTTTTTCTCATCTCTTTCCTTTTGTGGCCAGAGATGAACAAAAATGCGGTGTTCTTTGCTTTGCTGTCTGGATGTTTAATGTAATGTCACTCTCTTTATGCGTATCAGAGAGTGCTAGGTTTGCATGTTCACAGAGGGAAATAAAATCCCAATTGGTGTCTTTTTAGGAACATAAAAAAACAACACCTGCGCAACTCGGTTCCGCTAAAGTACATCTAAGCCTTTTCCACACTCATGCTGAATTTTTCCATGTGTAAACTCTATGTACAGCAAACACTGTCTGATCTTTCTTTATGGCTGTTAGAATGTCACATTGTCACATGCCCACATATGGAGCCAGGAGTTTTGGACCTCTCTCTGTTATGTAATTACATTTTGGCAGAGTGCAACAAAGCTACCTCTGGTTTTAAAATAAATGGTTCAGTAGAATTCTCTGAACCAGTTATCAGAGTCCCTGCATGCACCATAAACTAGCAACCTTAATTATGTCATAAATTAATCAAAGTGCCAATTATAACTAAGGGCCAATGATAGCTCCACATTAAGCGCTGTCTGTAAATGTTCTGTGGTTTGCTATACTTATTCAGGTCAATAGTCCAGCTCTTTCCTGTGTGTTTTCCCCTCTCTCCTACACAGCCTGACCTGTGAAGGAGGCAGACAGAAGCAGACAGAAACAACAGAAACTCTGACCCTGCAAACAGCCGACTCTTTTACCTATTTTGGTTCCATCATGGCTACCTGGAAACCTGGAAACTCCCACATCAATAATGTAGAGCTAGTGCTGGGCTGCTTCCCTAAGTAAGGAGAACAGTTACATGATAGAGCAGACCGACTGAATTCTTCCCCTCTCCTCTAGATTAAACATGTTGAGCTTGTGGCAGGCGCTTTGGTCTGGTGTAGCAACCTGCTACTGTGCTTTCTACCTTTCTGTTTTTGTAATCCTCCATTTGTCAACTGCGCCTCATGCTTACATTTTATTTAGTGTTTTTAACCTTTTTAGAGTAAAGGCTTCTGTAATTAAGGGTTTGACAACAAAATCAATTTGTAATTACGACAACTGTCAAGCAGGTGGAGCAGTCAAGAAGCTAACAGCCTAACAATTGCTTTTGATGTTGATCTATGCAAAGTGGCATTTCATTCAGTCACTTTGCTTGCCAGTGCGTGTTTATACATTTGATGCTCCAAGCAGGTAGCGCATTTCCCATCAGCCATCTGATGTTCATTTCTTTTTTTACTTGTTGTAGTTAGACAGCAAGGAAGGCATGCTGAGCCTTAACCTAGCTAACCGCATGACATTTCTTTATTATCTTTTCACCCATACGACCACATCTGTTTCTGACCTCAATCTGAAAAACAGGAGTTTTTAAATTAGCACAATTACAAAAGGCAGGAGACCAAGATGTTCTCTTACCTAAACACCCGGTAAAAGTTGTAAAACCGTCGCAACTTTAAATCTAGGAAAAGATCATGGTTTAGGTAAAAATATATATATATATAGCTTGTGAATGGGTACACTAGTTTACTGTACGTGAAGTAATGTAGCCTAACCTACGTTTTGCACGTCATGTTACACTATGTGTTACCTTTAACTTGTTCAATATAACTCAACGATTATATTTACATTGGACAAGAACACTGTGTAAGGTATTTGTGTGTCCCTGTGTCCCTATGCCGACTTTGTTGCTCTTTATCGGCCGTGACCTGACTTACACCTTGAGACAAAAAGCATAATATGGGTCATAATATGCTGCTTGTACTAACATTCACGGGGTGTTTTTGCAGTCCCATTTCCATTTGACTGAACCATAATCCTACTGCCATTTTGTAATGCGCAACTGTACTGTATAACTAGAATTGTAAGTAGACAGTATGGAAGTCAAGGCTACAGTATACTGAAGGAAAACATACAATCCCCATCACAGCAGTGATGAGATACTCAGTAAAATACACTGCTATTTTTATTAACTCAGTTCACCCCGTTTCACTTGAAACCCACCATCAAGCCCTGTCCCTGCTTCCCTCTGTCCCACAGCTATGTAACACTGTCCGACCATGAGAAACAGCTGTGGTGGTAGGACCTGGCAAAGTGTGCCATAAGATGACAGCATAAAGGAGAAGGCCTTGAGAGCATTAACATTCATTTCAACATACAGCCACACACATAAACAGCCATCCACACTAAAACATATCTGGCTGGCTTGTGAGCGCACAAGCCTCCTCTTCCAAGGCCGGGAGCTGTGTGAGTAAATTCATATAGAACACACATGAAACGCTATAGTGCTTTGCACATACGTAAGGCTCATTGTTTTCAATTTATATTCAAATGCCAGGATGTCATTTAAGAAGCACTTAAAAAAAAGATATGATCAAACATATCAGCAAAAGCTGTTCACGGTTCATTGCAGTTTACCGTAAAGAAAGACCTGTACGAAGTCATCAAAGTATAGAAACTGAAGAAAAACAATGTAGAGATAATAGAAATGAGTGACTGTTAAAGACCAGTCACTTTAAGGAAGAAAATATATAAATATATATTTAAATGTTAATCTAAAAAGTGCTTGCTCTAAAAGGTTGTGTTTTTGTCATAGATGTTGGTGATAGATCCTAAGCTGGGTTTTTTAACTCGAACAAATTATAATGTTGTCTGTTGTTTTTTTTGGGAAAATAATGAGCCCTACACAAACAAACACACATATAGACATAGAAACACAGAGAGCACATATTACTGTAGACTGGGGAACTGAAGGTTATATCTGAGTCAACATCTGCAAGAATCAATATCAACAGGAGACAGCAACATCAACTCAACAACATTATGTCACTATCATACTGAATGTCTTTATAATTGCATTAAAAAGCAACTGAGAAACGTGCATTTGTATGTATAAGGTACTGCTAAAATGAAGTTTATATTACAGTTATATGTATACAGAGCAGAGAGGAAGTGTTTCTGTGTGGCTCCTACCTTTCTCACTGACTGACTCACTCTCTATCTCCACGTCCTCACAGCTGGTGTACTCTGGTGTGGTGGCCAGCTCCTCCTCCGAGCTGCTGAGCGACACCTGCCGCATCTTTCCTCCCTTTTTGGTTTTGTGGGGCTTGGGGGGTGGCGGCCGCACAGACTCTGACTGGTCCGAGCTGAGAGAGTCGTTCCTCAGCATGCTCTCCATCTTCTCCCTCTTGGTCTTGCGGACGGCCGAGCTGGGGTCGAGGTGGTGCTGCTGCCTCCTCATGGAATCTATGTCCCCTCTACGCAGTTCTCCAGATCGGTCCCCCAGCACGGGGCTGCGGTGCGGCGTAGGGGGACTGTGGTTGGAGGATCTGTGGCCTCCGAGGCTGCCCCCCATGGGCCCCGGGGAGGAGCGGTCGACGGAGTAGGAGCGCTGTCCCACCATGGGCGGCCGGCGCTCGGTGAGATGCTGGCGGGACAGCCGGACGGGTCCTGGGTCGTCCTGCTCCGTGTAGGCCAGAGAGACGTCACTATGACGACGCTCGTGCCTCATGCGGCCCACCTCTGCGTGCATTCTCATCTGCTCCTCGTAGGGTTGCGGCTTCACAGGGTAGCGGGCCAGGTTGGGGTCGCTACGGTAACGCGTCTGGAATTCCTCCTGCCGCTGCCGCTGGAGGTCGTACTCGCTGGGTCCATCTAGCTCTTGGTCCAGCGGGTATTCCTGGGAGTGCCAGCGCCCAGGGCCCCGCCGGTCCCGGTAGCCCATTCGTGCCGCATCTGCATCTGGGTACATGTGTGGGCCCCTCGGAGCCCGCCGGGGGTCCCCATCCCCATAGTCAGACGGTGATCTGGGCATGCCGCCGTCCGTCGGGGCATACTGTGAGTGATCGCCCCCCTCCCCTTGGTCGTATTTTTGGTTTGGATCCCTGGATGCAGATGGACTTCGTTTCCTGTAGATCAAAGAGAAGGGAAAACCATTGTGGAATTTAGAACTTGGTCCACTTTAAACGCAACCTTTTCTGATTTAGTTAATACAATCTACATATCCTCCTATCCATGGTTTATAGTCCAAAAAAATTGTGATGCTTAGCGCCATTTCCGATGAGCATACAGTGTCTGCATGTGTGCTACTGGAAATATAAGGTTTCAGTCAGACGTTAGCCTTACGGTGCTTCATCACACTTCAGTCTGTAGCTTCACTTTACTTTGCACTGCACTCTGTAGGCCTCAGTCTCTGTCAAAACCTGATGAAAGCCTGCTCTGTCTCTGTCTCTCACACACACACACACACACACACACACACACACACACACACACACACACACACACACACCCGACGCCACGCCGCATCCCCCTGACACCAACCTCCTAGACACCGGAGGCTCCGACGGGGGGTACCCGGGGCCCCTCCTCGCCAGCTGCCTCATCCTCGCGACAGGGTGGTACCCGCCGGCCGCGAGCCACTCTACGACCGCCCTGTCGGCCTGCCCAGGACCCAGCAGGACGAGGCACATCCGGTCTCTCTGCAGTGATACTGCTGCGAGCACGGAGTACGCCGGGTGGAGACGCACGTAAGAGTAGACGAGGAGCATCCCAACGCCGAAGTGTCCCATCGCCCGGTCCAACCCCAGCGATGCCATTGCGCAGACCTTAAGGAGGACGGCGACGGCGACCTCCAGCATGAGCGACCCAGGTAGATCGAGAACCAGGTCGCCCATAAGGACCCTCACGGTCGCGGGTCCCGGGGCGGCCAGGGCCATCGGGTAAGCACGGCGTAGACGTAGACCCATGTACACACCCGGGGAGCCTCGGGCGGCCCCCAGGGGTAGGGGTATCAGTCTGCCACTAGACCCGTACGGCGGCAGGCAGCCCCGTATGACACTCACTAGCGGGGGGAGGGGAACCAGCATAAAAACCAAACCTAGGGACCTACGTCTACCTGAAGCAAAGGACATCTAGTTTCTCTTCCCTTTTGGTAACACCTTAAATCTTGAACCAGGTGAAATTTGCGTTGGAAAAGACTAAATCAATTATGTTAGATGTATAGGAGGATAGGTACCAAATATCAGGTTTTTTTAACACTACGAATCGCGGTAAAGGCTACTCGTATGTCACAGACGTACACACGATGACCTTTATATTCCAAAGTCAGTCTGCAATCGGAATGCCACGAAGTAGTGTGAAGTCAGACATCGAAGTGAAATGAAACGTGACGTGAGACATCCGGAGTCAGAGACAGTTTTGGACTACTTTCGGACGAGACAGAGACAGAGAGTGTGTGTGTGTGTGTGTGTGTGTGTGTGTGTGTGTGTGTGTGTGTGTGTGTGTGTGTGTGTGTGTGTGGTGTGTGTGTGTGTGTGTGTGTGTGTGTGTGTGTGTGTGTGTGTGTGGTGTGTGTGTGTGTGTGTGTGTGTGTGTGTGTGTGCCCGTGTTGTGGTGTGGTGTGTGTGTGTGTATGTGCTTTCTCTCTTTTATCTTGATTCGTCTTCCATAGCGTCGTCGTGAGGGGAAAAGAGCGAAGACCGTGTGAAGTTTTCGTTAACCGTACAGTCTAAAATGTTATTGTACACGTCCCATGGTACAAACGACTCGACTTGGTTTAGTTCACCGTACCCCGAAGATTAATATATATCCTTTCCTCTTTCTTCCCCTCACGACGACGTATGTAAGACGAATCAAGATAAAGAGAGAAAGACCACATACACACAACACACACACACACCACACAAC